AATTTCTTACATTCTGGAAGGAAACACTGGTATGGTATCTTTCCCACTCATAGTGACTTATTAATTTTTAGTATAAATAGATTATTGATAGTTAAATGGTTGTAAGTAGAAATTAATACATTTGATTTTAACTTATTACAATTATGCACAGGCAAGTCAGGTGACTTGAATAATTTGCAGACCAACACCAAAAACAAAACATGAAATACACAAGGTTGCAGTTAAGTATTTACTCCTGACAGAAATTAAAACTATAAGAGCGATAAGCTAAAACTAATATCTTCACTTAAGCTTTTACTAATGCTATACACCATCATCAAAAAATATGACATAATCTAATTTTTTACTTAAAAATTTTTTGTTTTCTCTCTTGGAATATTAATTTACTTCGTATGATAACGTTTTAGACATCAAAACCTATTTTTATCGACTTCTATTCGATCATGAGTCATCGTGGAGGAGGTATAAAACAATCGATTTAATTTTTCTTCTTTCAAAAATTCAGAATTTTTCTATTTTTTATAGCTTCTATATACTATTTCTTAGAGTTATTTTCTTTTTCAGGGCATGCTCAACGGAAACGTAAAAATTTTAAGGCAGAAAAGCCAGGAGAAAATACGAATGAAGAAGATCTATCACCCATCGCAAAGGTGTTTTTAGGTTACCAAACTGAACTAGATGCGCGCTATGACAAACATGAAAGGTTGATCAAGAAGAGCAGAGACTTAACCATCGAAAGCAAACGTATTATATTTCTTCTTCATAGAATTTCAAAGTAAGTCATTTACTACAAACCACAGCTATACAGCTAAATATCTAGCAGTATTCAATATAATTAATGATGTATTTGTTCTATCCATAGTGAATATTGGGAGCAAATTTTTTTATATTCAAGTCATTTCAAATTAGTAACAAAATAAACTATTAAATATTTCTGAATAACGGCATACAATTCATATAAAATATGAGGAACTTTTAGAAAGACTATAAATCGAATTACATTAGTTATATATTGTTATGAACATAGATTTTAAACTCAGTGCATGTTCTCAACAAGAAAAGTTATATTGTCTAGAATTCTAAAAAATTAGCATAAACTTTTTTAAGCACTAATTGTTTTTATTTTCACACTTCATTTTCATTATTTATCTAATTATTATCAAACTACATTATTTGGGGACTTTGATTATTTAATCTAAGATCTTCAATAAATTCTGGTATATGGTAGTACTGTTATCAAACATAAAAGCATACTTTCTCAAAATAAACATACCTTTTCGGATGGATTGATCATCAAAATATCAGGAGTAGATGAGGAGTTTCTTGACCATCAAAATATTAGGAGTGGATGAGGAGTTTCTTGACCAACGAAATATTAGGAGTAGATGTAATATGAAATATATGCTGATAAGTCAGTCTGCAGAGCAATCAAAAGCTTGGTAGCCTTAATGTTAATTTTACTTTTTGCGTCATTCACCATTTTAGTTCAGGAAATTTTTAAGCTAATCTAAAAAATTTCTATTCGCATTTATAAAATTTGTTTAGCCAATGATAGTTACATGTAGGAAATAATTTTTAATATTTATTTATTATATTTTCTTGTTTGTTTAATAATAGTTGAAAAATTATTTGAATTGTAATTGTAAAAAACTTTTTATTTAATTTAAATGTAATTTGGAATGATATAAGAAAAAAGTGGAACTGATTCGGTCTTGAGAAAGAGTTCTTGAGAGATGAAAGCTTAAAAATATGTTGTTTTTTTTTTTAAATTTTAAAGCTCAAACTATTTTGCTGATTTTAAAAAAACATGTGTTTTGTAATTTAAAATTACCTAGTTTAATCTGGTGTAATAATGTATGCTTCTTATAAATCTTTTTTTTTTAGCTCTTATCAAATAAAATATTTTACAAAAAATGGATTTTAATAAGTTAACTCTGATATTAATTAGTTATAAATTATCAATATTTTTTTTAATGTTTTAATCATTTATCACTAGTTTGTATGCTTAATATTAGTTATGTAAAAAATAAAATAATTCATATTTATAT